TCCTGAAATGTTTCGCGCTGCTCTGTAGTTAGGGGCAAGATGTGTTCCGGCGACCTTATTGTCGCGACAAAAAGCTCTGCAGCCGGCGCCACCATGCTGCGCCCTAGCGACGTGTAGATCTCGCACGTAACCACAGTAGCTATAAGTAGCTATAAGTTGTGCACAAATGTCGGAAGCTATGCGCACTCGCGGCGGAGAAAACGACTTGAGAATGAAAACAAAAAAGCCCATGAACGTCTGCGGATGTCTCAGTGTCTCAGGCTGACGCAAAACATCTTGCAGCTGAGGCGCTGTCATCCTCAAACTGTAAGCTCGTACTCACTTAATTCAGATGGGCTTGCAAGACAGTTGCGAGCAGGGCATGTGTGTTGCAGCGTTGGTGCACACCCATCCGCGCGTGACGACTGCATTATAGGAGCGACTAAATGCAAACCTGTGTCTGATTTAACGATGCAAGCAAAACCAAAGTGGCTGGAAACTGGCTGTGAGAGCCACATGCACACTTCATACAAGCAGCGGACCTTGGGAAATATTTTTTTGTTGAAGTAATTTTCCCTGACTTCTACCAACAGCTCTCTGTTGATTAGCTGGCATAAATTTCCAACAATTATTACTGCTCAACACGGTCAAATTGTAAAGCTAACACATCAATTCGACATTTGTCTTGCAAAGTTTCTTTTCATTACTGAACTTCGATGTCACTGTAGCATTATCACAAGGGGCACGCATTTCTGTCAAGTTCGCCAATCTAGTGCATTTCTCCAACTACACATGCACATTGGTTCGTGCAAAAGTGAAAAAATTGCTATGTTGTCTAAGTCGGCAAAATAAAAAAAAATTCTGAAAGTTGAGTGGCTGAACTAACTACTAGAAAGGGCTAGGTGCACAAGGAATTTAACATGCTGGAATTGATCACCGGAAAGCATCGATCACCAGTGATTGATTTGAATAGGCATGGTAACGATAGAGAATTCTTTCGTTACCACGCCTACTCAAATTGATCACCGATGATCGACGCTTTTGGATTGTCTATTTTGGAATGTTAAATTTGTTTCTCTTGCACCCAGTGCTTTCTAGTAGTTAGTCTAGCCACTGAACTTTCAGAATTAATTTTAATTTGCCCATTTTGGCAACATTGTGGTTTTTTACAGACCTTTGCGCGAACCAGTGTAAGTGTATTGTTGGAAAAGTGCACTAGGCTGGCGAACTTGACTATGAGCTTCCCAATTTGACTATGTTTAGCAGTAATAATTACCAGAAATTTATGCCATCTATTCAATAGACAGCACTTACAAGGAATCGGAAAGTTCGGTCTACAAAAAATATTTACGAAGGTCCGCCGCGTGTTTAAAGTGTTGAGGTGGCCTTCACTGACAGTTTCCAGCAGCTTTGGTTTTGCTTGCATCGTTAAATCAGACACAGGGTTGCATCTGGTGTCACTAGTCGCTCCTATGACGCCGCCGTCACGCGCGCTTGGGTGTGCACCAACGCTGCAACACACATGCCCTGCTCGCAACTGTCTTGCAAGCCCATCTGAATTAAGTGAGGACGAGCTTACAGTTTGAGGATGACAGCGCCTCAGCTGCAAGTCTTATGGCGACGATGTTTTGCGTCAGCCTGAAACACTGAGACATCCGCAGACGTTTATGGGCTTGTTTTGTTTTCATCCTCAAGTCATCTTCTTCGCCGCGAGTGCGCATAGCTTCTGAATTTTGTGCACAACTTATAGCTACTGTGCTTATGTCCGATATCCACACGTCGCTGGAGCGCGGCGTGGTGGCGTCGGCTGCAGAGCTTTTTGGCACGATAATAAGGTCGCCGGAACACACCTTGCCCGTAACTACAGAGCAGCGCGAGACATTTTAGGACCGTGCGCGATATTGTTCTGTTCCTATTTACGATGTGCAAAAATGCAAAGAAGTATGCTTGGATGAGTACCGTATATTGGAACTCCAACCTACGCGGAGGGAGGTGGCTCTTGGAAAGAAGCGACACTAGGCGAAATAGTGAAGTTCATTGGACATCTTATATAGCGGGATAATCACGGGTACCCATCTATATTGGAATGCCTGGAGACTTTTATTGCAAGATAAGAAAGGTTTACTGAGAAAAGTGTACGAGTACATTTGTGTCTCACGAAAAACCATGCAATGCTTCATCGCATGGCACGAACCAGCACCTCGGTTTGGATTTTATTTGTCTAATATGAAGAGAGGCATTTTGTACATCAATTATTTTTATACTGTTCCTGGGTCATTTATCTAGAAAATGTATATTCTGAATTTTTTTGTTTGGAATATTTTGCATATATATTTTTGCATATATTTATTCCACTGTTTACCAGCTGGTGATGAAAAATTTCACTCTTTACATTTTTATTCAGTCTAAAGTATTTTTGTTGCTCTACAATCTATGTTTTTTGGAAAATTTCATTCTGCAGAGTTTGGTATGCTGCAATGCTTGCTGGAGTACTTTTCAAACCGGCAAAAACGATCTTCTTGAGACATGAAAAACAATCCTTTTCGCACAGTAATGAGAAAGTTAAGCCACCTTTGCAGCAGTACACTAATGCCCTGCGAAAAAGTGTATTGATATTTAGAAGGGGGCTATAAGCGCTAGCTATGGGACACTGCACGTTTTGTCCAGTTACTCATGCGTTTCTTCCTCGCATAATTGAGAATAACAGTATAACCACTAATGCCTGAATACGGTACTGGTAATCATTTGGAGCAGTGTATGCTTCTGAGGTGGCTTTTCTGCTTTCCTAAAGAAAACGTACCAAATTGTGTGCCAGTTTTTTTTTTTTCACCACCGTTACATCTCGGTTTCAGGAATCTCTTGAATCTCAAGACCGCGAGCTTGGTAGATCTATACTTAGATTCGCAGTCTTTCAAATAATCTGACAGGCGTAGCAAATGCTAATGTGGACTTTATTATTGTTTGCACAGTGGGGTGGTTCAAAATTGAAATAGTACTCACGTTCACACTGCACGATTCAGGTGATGTTGAATGGTTTATACATATTTTATTTTTCTAAATATAAGCCTTCTTTTTTATACTGCTCCAAATTTGGTATTTCATGATAAAAAATGATGTTTCCCCCGTAACCTGCTCTGAATTTGGATTTTAGTGCTTCAAAAGTAACATTTCGCTGCTCCGAAAATTGCTCCAAATTGTATTTCAGTTGTTGAACCCCTGCAACAATACTTGCTCGACCTCTGCTACGTAACGATAGGGCCCCATGTTTTTGTCAAGTGACAGAAAATGTCGATTGCACCTGACTACTTGGACGACGACGCACACTTTCTTTAAAACCAAATAAAATATCTTATAGGCAAAGCTTGTCGCTAATAATCGGTCAGACGTGCCCCCTCATGTAGGACTTTGAAACAACACAAGCATCCGGTGTTTGCAAATTTTGTTTCAGGGGTTCTTGAAAGGGAACACTTGCATGCACAGTATGTTTGAAGTTCACCCTCTTGCAAAAACGTAGTAGTTTAAATTTAGTTTTGACTTAGTTTTGACTTAGCTTAGACTTAGTTTTGACTTCTCTTGGCAGACGGGTGCCGTGCATGAACATTCTTTGTTATGCACTTGCTGTTAGAGGGCCGGTAATAAATACAGTGCTCATTGCAGTGTTCCCTTTAACAGTGGACAGTACTGCCCTTCACCGTTGTATGCTACTTACGAAGTGTTTTTAATTAGAGCTTGCACTCATTGCATTCTTATTTACAGTAAATTAGCGAACCTTTCACGTTTGCTTTTCTCATGTAAATGGGCTCTGAAAGAAGGATGTTTAATTGCCTAAGGCTGGAAAAACTATTGTAAACAGCACATTGGAAAGCTGATTATTTTTGTGCGTTAACCATGAACTGGCTCTTTTATTTTAGTTTCTGCGGTTACTGCACCGTCTCATTTTTGCCTACTTTTGAAATACAGTATCATGGTGCCATTACGTGACAGTGACAAAATAGTTGGGGTCTGATTATCTTTGTTCTGGTGTTATTAGAGCTCACTGGTAGTTTTTCTGAGCTGAATAGCGACATGGTGATCATAACAGCAGAAGTATGCTGTTCAGAGTTGTTGATTGTGCCTTAAGAGCGGCTGGGCTGTTCACTGAACAGTGACCATAATGCTCACACAACTCAAATCCCTGTCAGAGTACTCTGTTAATGGTTGACTACACTTTGCATTTTCCGGATGCCAGCATTTCAGTGAAGGAATTGGGCCTAAAGCATTCATATCTTTATGATTGCTTTCTGCTGAAGATACCTTTAAAATAACGAAATACTGAACATTTTATGTTTATACATACAAAAGTGGAAAATTTTAATGTAAAATTTTACTTTTCTAAATGCTTAGTCATAGAATGAGTATGTTTTACTTCCGGATTGATAGCTCTTGCTTGAATAAAACGTCATAATCAAATTTTTTTTATTACATTTGCACTTGCATGGCTTTTCTTTATTTGAAATGAATCTATCTCACTTCACCATAGAAATGAGTCATCTTTTAATGAAAAAAAAAAAAAACTGTGGTATTTGTGAAACAAGACCTCTTCCTGCATGATATCTGCATGCCTGAGAATGCACTAGCAACTGAACAGTGTGTAGTTTTCTTGTTTGGTATAGAACTAATGTTTAGTACTGTGTTTCTTGGTATGGATTCTGCATGTCGTTTAGATAAAATTAAAGCAAGTATTGTATAGTCTCTAGGCAATTATTTCTCATTACTCATCTTTTGACCTGGCCTTGTCTAATGTCCAGCCATACAGCTCGGCCAGGGGCCATATTTCATAACAGTTCTTTTAATTGTGCTCTTTTTCAATCACTCATGTTGGGTGGCTGATTTCGGCAAAAACATGGCAGCTTCATGAACTTGTGACTTGAGTGCATGTCACAAAGTCTGAAAGTGAATTGTTATTAAAAGATCTGGCTCAAGAGGCACAGTTGTTAGCCACAATTGGCTTACTCTTATGTAAATTGCCTGTTCTATTACAGCTCCAGTGCATCAGTCCAGCCCACCATCTGCAATCAGCTCCAAGATTATTGAAGCGATCGAGCAAAACCAAAAGACTCGGTCTTTTGCTGCCACTGCAAAGTTGGCGCGAACCAGCAGCCTTTTGCTGAGCAGTGCTAGCAGAGGAAGCTCTGACAGCATTTTGGAGCCAGCTAACCGAGAGTTTCTAGAGCGACAGGGCATTCAAGACAAAATGCCTGGCCACAAGAGGCTTGTCTTGGGGCACCAGACCTTCAGCTTTGATCTTGAATCAGGCCTTATGCTTCTCACATCTGAACGTCGTCGCATGCGGTGGCGTTGGCGGCGTGCTGTGCGCATCATCCTTGACAAGAGACGGGGCTCACATAAGGTCTCGTTAGGTAAAATGCAAGGGGACTGTGAGCACCCATTGGCAAGCTTGGATGGCCCGTCAGCTGATTCGGGGCTCGGAGAGTTGATCAGTGTTAATGGTGGCAGTGTGGACTCAGCTTCATGTGATTCTTATGCTGCAAGCAACAATGGTCACAAAAACTTGTCTGAAAGAGACCAAGTGTCACTTGCTCCTGATGATAAAGGGGATATTGACAGTGTGCCCACAGAGCGTCACAAGAGGCCACTACTCTACAGGCAGTCAACCATAACGGAGGAAGTTGCTTCGAGCCAGCCAGGAGATCCCTTGGATACAAGCAATCAGGATGGTAGTGAGGAATCGGGGGTGAGTTGACAGGCTTATAATATCCTTGACTAAACTCATGGACCTGCTCCATGTTTGCGAACAACGGCTGGTATTGTCAATACGCAGTTGAACCTCTTTATAGGAGACATGCACTGGGGAGCAATTCGTGTCTTGTACACAAGGCGCCTCTTATAAGCTGGGAACCAAATATGCGTATTCTTATGAACCCCTATTTTAATGTACGTACATTGGTGTCTTTTATATCCAATTGTCTAATACTTCAGTGTCTCTTATGAAGAGATTTCACGGTGCTTAAGAGCCTGTAGTGACGTCGTGGCATTTAGGCTTTGCCCAACGCTTGCCCCCACTTTTTGTGGTCATGTGACAACTTGCGCAGCAGCTGCAAAAGCTGCCTCCGAGCACTGAATGTGGGGGTGCCTCTAGCGGGTTTACAAAAGGTGGCTTTGTCAGAGGAAGTTATAGTGGCTCTAAGAAGTACTCTGAAATTAACATACAGTGAACTCCCGTTAAGATGAACTCTGTTAAGACGAATTCTTGCTTAAGATCAACAACACGGGAGCATTTGCTTGGTTTGGCATAGACTCAATAAAAAAAAAAAAAATAGACGAACAGTGTATCAGACATCTTCTGTTAAGAAGAACACTCACAGCAACCTACAATGACAGTGATTCTGGGCAGCGAACATTATACTCTTGACAGGGGCAGTTAGTCTCAGAGTGTGTGAGCTTCTTAGAATACGTTTTCGAGCTGTAAGGTCGCAGCAGACGCAGACTCGCGGAGCCAACGCCACAGGGGGTTGTCGGTAGTGGCAGCTTGAAGAGACGGTTTCCCACAATCAATGCATTGAGAGTTTCTGCCGGGGAAGCGAACCACCGCAGCCGATTTAGTGACAGTCAGGCAAGCGCCGCGGTCTGGGCCATGTGGCTGACCGGACCGAGGAGCAGAAGTGCGAGATCAGGTTACGGTCCGTCGGTGATAAAGGCCAATGCGAGTAATGCGGCCGAAGGAGAGCGTCCTGCGAATTCCTCTTCTTTTTGCTGAGAGCAAAGAAGAGGGGGTGCATATGCGCTGTTTTACTTATGATTGTTTTTCAACTGCCCGGGAACGCGTGATTGGAAGATGGAACGAGTTCGGTGGCCGTGGCCCGAACAGACGGACGTGAAATCAACGCTGCCTTAAACCAGACTCTGGCTCTTGCTTCTCGTTGCAAGTGTGCACTTGGACCACCAAGGGGATTTCGACATCAAAGCCTAACTGGGCCATTCAGGCTAACAAAAGAAAGCAAAATAGAAAAAAAGATTTCCTGATGGAAAGACTCAAACCAAATTGAAAGTAAATTGCAAGATGGAGGGAGAAAGCGAGGTAAGTTGAAAAGAAAAGTCAGTGCGTAAAGCTGGTATCTCCCTCGCTCCTAGCCTGTAGAAAGAAAGCAACAGAAAGCGTTCGTCTTTTCGTATTCTCCTCGTGTTTGTCCGTTTTCCAACAGGAGAACAGTAGAGAACCGAAGAACAAGAGCTTAGATTGAGGGGAAAATGCAAGGGAAGGTGGGTGAAAAAAAGCCAAATTAAAGTGAGAACCGGAACAAAGATTGTCTGTACATTATAATCACATGTAACTGAAACCACATATGCAGCACTAGCACTCCTATCAGAGAAGTCAGATGCATTGTCATTTCCGTCGCCCAATGCCGCCTGAGCACATGTTGTGGACAGTTGGTGTTGTTTCGCATAGGGCCCGTGTGCATTGTATCTGTTCACAGTGAAATATAGCGAATTATGATGTAGCATTTTCATTATGAAAGTACATGACAAAGAAAGGTCATTTTGCACAGAAAATATAGCTGTATCGTGTCTTCTTTTTGTGCGCAAGAGGCTTGTGATCGTGAGTAGCGGAAGCGGAGATCTTCAGATGGGATGTCGTTCAGGAAAAGTTACTGCGGGATGAAAATAAGGAAATATCCGAACATCAAAGAAAAGTTCGCACACTTTCATAAGCAACTTGGCGCATATTAGCTTTGTCAAGGTAGCGGTATGCAGTGAGCGTGTATCCAAAAGTGATAGCAAAGCCTGTAAAACAGCCTCTCGGAAGGGGAACAGCCAGAAGAATATATTTTCCTCTCTTTAAAGGAAAGTTGTGTCTGTCTCTCCCTTTTTATCTTTTTCTAATCGTCAAAATAGGGTCGTGCTGCAGTTTTGTTGTTAAAATATGGTAGCAATTTATTCATGAGTATATTTATTATGAACTCGCAAAATCAAGTACCCATGAGATTAGTCCAAATACTCTACTTGAAAGCATAGTTTTTATCAAGCTGAGCCAAATAAACGCTTTTTCTTGTTTCTTTTCTCCCCATTATAAATATACTGCATTCAGTGTTTTCAAGCAACATATTTGGGTGTGTTTGGCATGATAGCATTTTGTTTTGGGGGGCACTCCTGATAAGACGAACAGATGATCATGGTCGCTTCGAGTTCGTCTTAAAGGAGTTGACTTTATAAGAGCTTGGTGGACGTGCTACTCTAAACCACTGCGAGAACATTAGCCAAACACCAGACGTCTTAATGTCATGAATGTCACTGATTTGTAAAATATCATCAACGTTGCTCTAGTCGAAGTTGCACGTGTACAATTTAGTGTGTGAAAACAACTTGCCCAGCCCAGCATGATGCCTTTAAGTGCAATCTCACAATGTGCATATTAAATGTATAAATATGTGTGAGTTCTCTATTGCTACGGTAAATTTTCTGACTTGAGCAAATTTTCTGGGTTCACAAAAATGAGATTGGCAACCTTGACAACACTTTCTTCTATTAAATACGGGACAATAAAGCAAATAATTATTATGTGCCATAAACAAGGCTTATACATACCTGTCAGGCTCTCTAATGGTGCCATTCAGACGACAAACTGAATCCGGATGTGGCGTCACGTCACGTGACCTCACATCAGCGATTCCCCTCGTCCGCGACTCGTCCGCGTGGCTCGCAGACGGATGACCCCAACCTGTTTCTCACATCGGGATTCTGGCGGGAGAAAGCTAATACTTCAGTGGATTAGCTTGGGGTTCATGGCAACCAGTACACTTTTCATCTGCTACCGGACAGCTGCATGACTGGTTGGCATCATCTACGCTTGAGCATGGTGATTAAATACGCAGAGATCACTTTTGGTGGTTCGGGAAATGTCGCCACCGTCGTTTGACTCGCAAGATTGTTAGCCGTCATGGTGGTTAAATATTCCAGCTTCGGCAACTGGCGAAGTGCCGCTTCTAAAAAAGGATGGGCGACGTGTTCAGAAGTTCTACAAGTGGGAAACAATGCAGTTGAAAGAAAATTCTGCCAGCAACTCCCTTTTCTCCTGAAAGAATAACACTCCCTGTTCGTTTGTCACAACGCAACAGACATTGTAGCCAAGCGTCGCTTCTTGCGGGCATCCATGTTGAATTCTCTCAAACCGGTCTGCTGCCAGCAAGCGCAGGTGAGCGCCAAATCTGCTGTCGAGGGTAATCCGGGTGTTTTCTCCTAAGACACTGTCCGTCATGTGGATGCACCTGCAGGCGGATCATCCGTGGATTAGCCATCTGCGTCCACGACAAATCCGGATTCGGTCCGTCGTCTGAATGCACCATAACCACTGGCCGCAGCTCTCTCTGTATGCTTAAATGTGAACTCCAACAAAATTTTGAAGGCCTCTGAAAGCTGATTTATAGGCAGTCTAGCTAGAGCTAAGTAATCACAAGGATGAATACTAGAACATTTCTCACATCTAATCACAAACACATAAAGAAAGTCGTGATGTCCAGTGTGCAGGCACTTTGATTACGCACTTCCACTCAAGTTCACTCGTTTTGCACGCACTGTACGCTGCTGTTCTGCCGTTGCACATCAAGGACTCTTTTATGGCTGCCAGAGCAGGGCCACGCTACAGTAGCCGTGCAGAGATGTTGCGCTAATTCAGCCTGAAGACATCCTTTATCCATTGAAAGACAGTGTAGCAAAGTGCTTTTCGGGGCCAGTTGATACATGACGAAGTGAAGGGTTCCAGCATGTTACAACAATAGCACAAGAAGAAAAGTGCAGAAGACAAAGACTAGCATTTTCCTTGTGCACTTCTTCTCTTGTGCTCGCGTTGTAATGGGTTAAAACTTTTCACCTTGTTTCTTGAAACACGCTGGCTGCTTTTTTGCTTTTGGGTGCTAAAGCAAATATACACTGAAAAAAAAAAAAGTTATACTTGAGCAAGCATGTTACTGTGACAGATAAGCTGCATGGTGGCTAGCTGTAATTAAAGTTGAGTAAACAATGGCAAAAGTGTTTTTTTAATGTTGGTGGTGCCTGCTTTCAGGAGTGCTGGTTCACAGCTTCATTAACATCTTTTCTGTAAAATTGAATTATGTGCATGTGCACAGTAGATTCAAGTGTAAAATTCTGCTTAGTTTTGTTACTACATCACAGAGTTGTTCAGGTAAGGGCACTTTTTGCAGGGTGCCCTTAAAAAGTCTTAAGGTGGATTTCTGAAAAGCATCCTTGGTTCTTTCACACATTTACTTAAAGGACCAGTAAACAACCCCATGGTCCAAAAATTGATTGATTGATATGTGGGGTTTAACGTCCCAAAACCACCATATGATTATGAGAGGTGCCGTAATGGAGGGCTCTGGAAATTTTGACCACCTGGGGTTCTTTAATGTGCACCCAAATCTAAGCACACGGGCCTATGCCAAAAATTGTAAAGAAAGTAGTTATGCACACTTTTGCTATGTAAACATGCTGCTGCAAGAATTTTGCGAGAAATAAGGAAATTACAGGAGTTAGAACGTCCGTTTCAGCTGATTTCAAATTTTCACGCCCGGCCTCGCCACCCTTTTCTGCCACACAGAGAGAAAGGCATAGCCCCTTGTTGTGACTCCGCCCACTTTGGCCACGTGACAAGATGTTACATTATTGGAGCGCAGCCAAAGGCCCGCATGAGCACATGTCAGTGGCGCGAGGAGGAAGTGCGATGCGAAAAGCACCCTTCCACTAGCAGTATAGTAGCGAGACAAATCTTCATTTCGGAGGCTCTCTTTCTGGCAAAGCTGCTTCTCCTGGTAGTCTTGGGGTCTACAAAACTGCAGAGGGCAGCGCAAGAAAATGAAAATTTGGACTGTGAGGCTAAAACAGCATCACTGCAAGGCCAAGGCGTTTTTTCGTAGAGGAAAGGACCAGTCGAAGAGCTCAGTGGTACGTCAATTTGTCCATGGGCAAGTTTGCATCACTGTGTGTATGAGTGGGATTAGTCAGGCGAAGGAAAAAATTCGACTTGTCTGTAAAGTGTGAATACTAGAGACATTTGCACCCTGTGCAGAGAGAAGATCAAAAAAATATTTTCTCTGCCCCTTACTTAGGTACAGTAATTTCTTGTTAACTCGAAGCCGTCAAATCTGGGAAAGAAAAGCAATATTTCGTGTTAAGCAAAACAACAAAAATGTTTGCCCAGGTCTATTTAAAAGAAAAGCCAGTGTTGTCGGAAAAAGCGCCACTGCACGAGACAGGTACCGCAGTGAAGGCACAAAAATTGACAGGGAAAAAGAATTTATTACTGTGGACTGAAAAACTGTGTGATACTCGCCTGTTTCGCGTTTGCTTTTGGTACGAGGAAGTTTCTCAACACATTGCATGAGCCGTTGGTCACCACCGCTGCATTCGACCTTCTTGCGTAGTAAGTGCAGCAATGTTACGCGTTTCTGCCGTCGTAGGCACTTCTCGGGGCTCTTCCTCTTCTGCGTGGTCATCTGCGTTGTTCACGACCATCTCAATGATATCCGCATCCGACAGCATACCGGTAATGGGGATGTCCGCCTTGTAAAGCGCGTACTCCTCAAAGGCATTCTCGCCATCTTCAGTATCGCTCACGCAGCCGGTTGCCTTGCTGAGCACACTTGACTGCACAGCTTATCACAGCCACTGAATTCCACGCCAATGTCTTCTTCAATCGATGCCGGAGCCTGAGAAAACCCCGCATGAGCAAAGCAGTTGGCAATCGCCATCAGGCATAGTTGGCGCCAGGCTACGGCCATCAGATTGACTTCCACCCACAGATCGATCTCATACTTCTTCCCATTGTCGTATGACAGCAGAATACGGTGCAGCAGGCTTTTCCTATAATATTTCCGAGCCATCTCAAGAGTGATGGCCGCGACGGTATCAAGCACCGCGTACTGATCTGGTTTCCTGCACATGTTGGACAGGTCCAAGGCGCTTCCCTCAACCTCAACGAGTCTGCCCACGAGGCCGCGCGCGCGCTAACCAACCGCGCGCCGGTTCAGGGCAACGATTCGGGGCCAGCGGGATTGCGGAAAACAGGGACGCGCCTGCCACATACAACTAAATAACAAAACATTTTTACCTCGCGCGAAGACTATATCCACTCACTCATCCAAAACTTAATAGGCCACAAGCCTTTACACTCAGACTACTGCAGACCGACACGTACCCTAACCTGAGATCCCTTCACGCTATTTATCCTGAAGTGTTCCCCAATGACGCTTGCTCCGCATGTGGGGATGTATCCACGCTGGCGCACATGCTCTGGGAGTGCAAGGCAATGTACACTAACCCCGACACTACATCGGTCAGGTGGGAGGCGGCCCTACGCAGCTCCCTCCTGGCCGACCAACTTTGGGTCGTCCAGCGGGCCCGCGGAGCGGCCGATAGGCTTGGCCTAACGGTCCCGACGTGGGAGTCAGCCGCTGCACGCTGACGCGTGCCTTGCAGGACCACAATAAAGTTTCGCAACCAGCCAACCAATCTCAATGACTCCCTGATCCATAGGCTGGAGAACGGACGTCATATTAGGCGGCAGGAACTACAGCGTAGCAGCCGCTAAGTTGTCGATTTTCCTTGACTGGCGCAGTTATCCACAACAAACAACACTCTCCGACCGTCCTTAGCCATTTTCCGGTCAAGCGCACGAACACGCTCTTCGAAAAGTGTCGCCGTCATCCAGGTCGTTTTCTTTGCATGGTAGATCACATACCTCGGGAGCCATGCAATTCGAAAACACCTGGGATTCAGCGACTTGCCAATGATAAGAAGGGGCAGCTTTTCATCGCTGGTAGCGTCGGCACCAAAAAGAATGGTTATTCTGTCTTTGCATTGCGTGGCACCTGAGCATGCTTTGCTTTTTGGTGTGTAAGTGCGGTTAGGTAACGTGTCATAAAAGATTGCGGCTTCGTCGAGATTAAACGTGTCCTTGTCTGCATACTCCTTTCGCAGCGCGGCGAGGCGTAGGTTGTGCCATGCGTCAAACCTATCGAACCAGCCATTGCTGGAGCTTAGGTCCGCGTGACCCATCTGCAGTGCCAATGCATCTATTTTTTCCATCATCACTTGGGTTGTCACCAGAAGATTGGCTGCTCAAACGTTGTAAAGCCACAACAAAAGTGCTGCTTCGATGCCCGGGAATTCAGAAGCTTGAACGCGCTTCTGCTTGCTCGAGAAGCTTTACTTGAAGCCTTCCAAAATCATTTGCTTGTTCTTAAGCACTGTCGAGAGGGTTGACAAAGGGATGCCGAATTCTTTGGCGATGCACGACTTGCTTCGACATGCTTTTTCCACTTCCTTGATTAAAGCGACTTATCTCTCCAACGTTAGCGATTTGCACTGCTTTGAGTGAATATCGATCTTGGTCGATATTCGGAAGCGTTCGTTGCACAGGCCACGCACTGGAGATTCGTCGTGCGCAGATAGCTGGGAATGCAGACAACCACCTCGCACATGCAAGGGCTAACTTACGTACTGACGGTGCTCACGGCGTGCTGCACACTGTGCAGAAGTCACGCGCAGGTGCACACACATGATCACTTCCATAGCTGCTTGACAAGGCAGATAGCAAATGACTGCGACCGCAGGAATGGCAAATTCACCCTTCACGACTGCGTTTGGCACGTATATTAAGAGCTAAGCGTTTGCACAATGCCCTTATTTCCTGTTGAGAGTGGGCTTTGCCTTCTTCCCTCCCGGTCAAGATTTCAAGATATGCGCTCTCCCCTCCGAAAAACATTTCAATTTAAGAGGGGGCAAGTACATGGCACCTATGACGGGTTAATGCATGCAAAAAAATGTTTTGTCTTAACCTAGATTTCGAGATATGGGAGTTCAAAAGTTAAAGAGGGTCTACTGTAATGAGTTACATGACGGACCTAATAATAATCCTTGGCATTCTCATATACATGCAATAAAGTATACTGGCTTGCATTTGCAATGTTGAAGGCTATGTTAAGAGTGGGTGTAAATGGTAGTGCAAATAACAACTATTTTACATAAAACAGAGTTTCTACATGCTGATCTTTCTGATCCTACCAAATTTGTGTGTCAGTGCTGCTGACTCACTATGGAGCCAAAGGTTACACAATGACCTCATGAAATGGATTTTCACACATTGGCCTCATTTTAACTCAGTGAAACTTACTGGCTTCTTTTTATTGTTTCTGATGCAGGAGCACACACTTACCGAGCTTTCGGATTTGCATCGAGCCCTGCGAGAGTACAAAGCAAAGCACCTGCGGTGTGGGAGCTCACTTGTTGGTCTGGTGCGAAAAACACAAGAAACAGCGTGAGTTTAACACGGCTAATTTACTCAGCTCTTGCCATTTGATGGCTAATTCTAAGATATTTTTAAAATTACAGCTTTGTTATTTCTTTCTTCATAGCATTCACATGATAAAATATCTAATATTCAATTCAATCAATGAGAATTTTGATGTTCTTGTTTGTGCATATCTTTTGCATATACTTTGTGTGCTTATGTTTTGTCTTCCTTGTTTCGTATTTATAAGTTTACTCTAACAATGCAATTATTGAAAGGCCATCACTGCAATGTTCGCCTTGGCCTCTTCAGAGTCTGTGAATAGCAGTAGTATTAAGATGCAGCCTTAGGAGTTGCCATGCACTCTTTAACACTGTTTCCTATGACCACTCTTTAACACTATTTCCAATGGCCACATAGTTTGTTCTGGAACACTGTGTTGGATGTTTCAAATACAGATCCACGTTAAGAAAAGGAAAATGGACAACCACCCATTTGTAAATTGAAGCCACAAGGAAATCCGTTTGGGTGGTTGTCTTTTTTATCTTTTTTAACACGGATCTATATTCGAAACATCTGACATAGTATTCCAGTGCTAAGAAAGTGCATCAGAACTCCCTACTTAGAGATAGCCCAGTAGCCTAGCATGCAGTGACAAAATTCTGTTTGAATCCCGATGCCGGACCATTCCCAATCATATATTTACTTAAATCGCGGAATGATTGAATTATTAAAAAAAAAGAAATGAAAAAAAGAAGGTCTGGGGTGCGGTCTCACTGGCGACCACCTGCAAGTAATGCACTCCCTCACCAGAGCAGGATTGGCCACTCTGGTGCAGTACTTGGCCACTACCTCCCATGAATACAGCAATTAATAGTCCTCAGCAGTTGCAAAGCAACTGTCTAAGATTGCGGTCAGACCTGCGAGGCAGAGGAGGGGGCAAAGGATCTCTGTGTCCGAAAAAGCCGCCATTGAAATTTGAACTTTGCTATGTTCAACGACAGAATGCTATATAGTGAGGCTAGTCTAGCTGTGTTATTCGAAGAATTAGAGTTTGTTAAATGGGATGCAATAGGACTCGGTGAAGCTAGGAGGACAGGTGAGGCTTATAGAGTGATGAAGAACGGACACGTCCTATGCTACCCTGGATTCGTTCACAAAAGAGAAATAGGGGTGGGGCCTCTTATACACATGAACATCACTGGTAACATAGAGGAATACTAAAGCATCAGTGAGGGGGTGGCTAGTATCGTAACTAGGGTAACAAAAGGTACAAGGTGAAGGCGGTATAGACATATCTACATCGAGCCATGATGATCATTTGGTTGAACACTTCTATGAAGACGTAGAGTCAGCCATTAACTCTTTTGTTACCACGCGAAAATAGTTGTTTTTTATATGCCTCGGAAGATTATTTTTGCCAGTTTTGAAAAGTACTCCAGCATGCATAGCAACACATTCAATTTTGTACAATATAATGCTCTTTTTTTAATGCTTTTTTTTTGTAGAGCAACAAAAATATTTTAAAATTAATAAAAATGTGAAAAGTGTGAAATGTTTGGTTGCCAGATGGTAAACAGTGCAATAAAAACACTATATATGCAAAAATATTCGAAACAAAGAAAAATCGGAATATAAATTTTATAGATAAATGACTCGAGAACAGTATAAAAATAGTTAATGTTGTACAAAATATTTCTCTTCACATAGACAACAAAAATGAGAACCGATTAAGGTGCTGCTTTATTGCTCGTGCCATGCGGTGAAGCATTGCATGGTTTTTTTTTGAGACAGAAGTGTACGCGTACATTATTTTCAGTAATTTTTTGCTGTCTTGCGATAGGAGTCTCCAGATTTTCCAATATAGATGGATACCCGTGATGTGAGTAATCCGTCTATAAATGAGATGTCCAATGAACTTCGCTATTTCATCTAGCGTCGCCTCTTTCCATGAGTCGCCTCACTCCGCATAGGTTGGCGTTCGAATATGTGCATCTAAGCATATTTCTATGAATTTTTGCGCTTATCGTATTGATAAAGGACAATATCGGGCGCAGTTCTAAATGTTTTGCACTGGTTCGTAGTCAGGGCCACGATGTGCTCCGGGGGCCTTCTTGTCATTAGGAGAAGCTCTGCAGCCAGTGCCAGCGCACCGCCCCCAGCGAAGTGTGGACCATGCACCAAACCAGAGTAGCTATAAGTTTGTGTACAAATTTCAGAAGCTATACGCACTTGCGGCAAAGGTGACAACTTGAGCATGTAAAAAAAAAGATACCAAGAACGGTCACGGATGTCTCAGGCTGACGCAAAACATAGTCGCCATGAAAGTTGAAGCTGAGGTCCTATCATCCTCGAACTTTAAGCTCTTCCTCACTCAATTCACTTCACTTCACTTCACTTTATTACCTTAAAGACCCCCAGAGGGGGTATTACATAAGGGGTGGGAAATATACAACAAATGTAATACATATGCAGGATGGGTACAAGTATGAACAGGGGCAACCAATACAGAAATAAAATAATACATGTGCAGGATCAGTATACATATTCAGGTGGGGTTTCAAGACAATTTCGAGCAGCGCATGCATTTTGCAGCGCTGGTGTGCACCCATGCGTGAGCAGCGATGATGTCATAGGAGCAACTAGTGACACTAGATGCGACCTTGTGTCTTATATAACGATGCAAGAAAAACTAAAGCAGCTGGAAACTGTCAGAGAAGGCCACCTCGACACGTTAGGCACGCTGCGGATTTTCATAAATATTTTTTGTAGAATAAATTTTCCCTGACTCCTAGGAAAAGCTCTCTATTGAATACCTGGCAATGATTTCTGGCAATTTTTACTGCTCAAGATAGCTTAATTGTCAAGCTGACACTTTAACTCGACATTTGGCTTGCAAAGGTTCTTTTCATTATAGAACTTCAATGTTACTGTAGCATAATCATGAAGAGCACGCACTACTGTCAAGTTCGCCAGCCTAGTGTACTTTTCCAACATTACATGCACATTGGTTTGCGCAAAGGCCTGTAAAAAATCACTATGTTGCCAAAACGGTTGAATTCAAATTGATTCTGAAAGTTGAGTTGCTGGATCAACTATCAGAAAGTTCCGGGTGCACGAGCCAAAACACGCCAAAATCGACGATCCAAAAACGTAGATCACCAGTGATTAGATCACCAGTGATCGATCTAAATGGGTGTGGTAACGAAAGAGTTAATAAAGTAAAGACACAGTATAATATTCTGATGGGCAACTTTAATACCAAAGTAGACAAGAAACAGACTGGAGATCATGCAGTGGGGGAATATGGCATCGGCTTTAGAAATGCGTGGGGGGAATTATTAGCAGAGCTTCTAGAACGTAATAATTTATGGATCTTGAATGCCTTCTTCAGAAAACGGGCTATTTGTAAGTGGACGTGGCAGAGTCCTAATATTAAAACAAAAAATGAAATAGACTACATTCTGTGTGCTCGCCCATGCATTGTACAGGATGTAGAAATAGTTGACAAGATTCGCTGCAGTGACCATAGAATGGCAAGAGCTCGTATTCACCAAGACTTGAAAAAAGCAATGGCATAAACTGATACGCAAAAAGCCAATTAATGAGCTAGGGGTGAGAGAAAGTACAGGAATTCAGAGTTTTGCTTCAGAATAGATTTGAGGCTCTGAACGAAGTAACCGACGTTAACATTACCACAATGAATGAAAATTTTACTAGTATCATCAAAGCATGTGCAATGGAAATTGGGGGGTACAGTCACTAGAGAGGACACTGGCAAACTATCTCAGAAGATGAAAAATCTCGCTAAGAGACGACAAACCATGAAAGCCTCAAATTTAACTGACAAAGTAGAGCTAGTGGGGCTTTCGAAGTTCATCAGTAGGCGCAAGGTAGCCGACATTAGGAGGTATAACATGGAGGGAATTGAGCAGACGGTCAAAAGCATGAAAAGCCTGAAAGCTGCGAAGGTAAACTTGTGCATTGGCAAAAATCGGATGTATGCATTAAGGAACAAAGAAGGCAATGGCATAACCAATATGGATAGGATAGTTGAGATGGCAGAGGAGCTCTACAGAGAGTTGTACAGAAGCCAAAACAACCAGGATGATATCGTGCGAAACAATATTAGTCCAGAGGTATTTGACATCCTACCACTAATCACAGGGGAAGTAAGGAAAGACCTAAAAGGAATGTGAAGAGGCAAAGCTGCTGGTAAGGAGAAGGTAACAACAGACCTACTGAAAGATGGCGGAGAAATCTTGTTAGAAAAACTGGCCACCTTATAAACGAAGTCTCTCTTGAGGGGAAGAGTACCAGAATCTTGGAAGAATGCCACCATTATTTTAATCCATAAAAAAGGAGATGCCAAGGACTTGAAAAGTTACAAGCAGATCAGCTTACTGTCTCTGCAAACTATTTACAAAAATAATAGCTAATAGAAAATAACGCGACATTTGAGTTCAATCAACCAAAGGACCAAGCCACATTTCGTTCAGGCTACAGGTGATAGAGAAATGCGCGGAATACAGTATTGTTCGTTTTAAGTGGGGCCGTTATATGTGGGCTCGACTGTACAACCAACCCCTATTCATAGCTTTCATAGATTACAAGAACGTGTTTGACTCAGTCGAGACATCGGCAGTGATGCAGGCACTACAGAATCAGGGCATTGACAAACTCTACGTTAACTTTGAAAGAATTTTTGTAGCACAAGACGAAAAATGAAAGCAGGAAGAGATATACTAAGAGGACAGAATACTGCTAGCAAAAACATGTTTATCTGAGTGAGTCCACGTGCTTATCTGTCTGCCTGACGACTATGGCTTAAAAGCGACTTTTTGTTCGAAAATAAACATGTTGCTGGTAGTGCTTTGTCCTCTGGGCCTATCCCTTCCTGTTTTCAGATTTTTCTTCGCTCTACAAAAATTATTTCAAAGGCATCACCAACAAGCCCACATTGCAAGAAATCTACAGGGGATCCACAGGCGCCATAGCTCTTCATAAAAAAAAGCGACAGAATCCTA